TGTGGGTAAGCTTATAGACTTCCTGGAAAGTACAATCCATAATTGAAAGATAACTTCTTAAATAAATATAAAATAAACACAAATTCCACAAATAATATTATCCATGTTCATCCAGTGGAACAAAAATGAATTTCTCCACATTATGAATATGGTAATAGAATTTAGGGACTGGTTGAATCTCCAAAAAAATCTAGGGATTGTTACAAAATGGATTGGTGATTCTTTTACAACAAGGCAGAATTATTTATCTCATTTGCATAAAAGAGAAAGTTTCTTTCTTGTATATAGTAAAAAAAATTTAAATTAAATTAATATTGTAACAATGAGATTATTTTCCTTCTAAGGGTTTCCACTTTTTGTTGGATAACAGCATATCTTCTTTCTGCTTTCTTTTTCTAACATTTATTATTTTTCTTTCTTCTTGGTAAATTTCATAGGTAATCTTTTCTTTTCTTAGATAAGCTTCAAGTGCCTGAGCATCATTTATTTTGAAAATGTAAGGAGCAATTTTTTCACCTTGTTCTTTCTTCAAAATACTTCTAATGGTGCTATAATTTTTGGGTTCCATAGTAGATCTGATATAAATGAGTTTCATATTAACTATTTTTGTCTATATAGACAAATATCATGATCACAGCATAGTGGAAATTCTATTTATCACAATTTGATGATCACTGATAAGTTTAATTTATATTGTGCAACAATAAATTCACAATTGTTTAAAGTACTCAAAATACATCAGGTGCCATTATTGGTAACACCATTCATTAAACAACTATTTTTAAAAAAATTATGCGGTTATTATCTTAATTTTATGCACTTTCATTTAAAGATTTGGGATATGTTTGGATGCAAATCAATATAAAGGTTACATATAAAGCAAAAAATTGCATAATTTTTAGTCAAATAAACGGAATTCAATATAAAATATATAAGGTAAATAAAAATTTATTATAAAATATATGAATGATATGATATATAAGAACAAGAAACATATATGAAATATTAATATAAAAACTAAGAATGTTTTCCATTCATTTACTAATTCATTCCTACTTTTTCAATCTATTTTCTTTTGTTCCAACTTTAAGATCAAAATTACAACCTTTGTAGAGAATAAATTATTATTATTAAAGTTAGTTTATTTCACTATTTTTTATTATAAGAAAAGCATATTAATATATATATATCTCTTTTTTTAAAGAAAATAAAAGTTGTATATACCTTACTCTTTCATTAAAGAAATACAAAGTGTAGGAAAAGATACATGCATATTAGTGATATTTAAAGGTATTAGGACCACACTCCATGAAAATGCATAAAAGGTTCAAATTACATATACATCAGGAAAATGGGTACAAATATTATGCATATATAATACACAATTGC